CACTCTTTCAAAGGTCAGTGAAACATCAGTCCCTCAAGAATAGATTGCAATTTTGAAAGTTGCAATTGATTTGTTATTTTTCATGTTACCCACCTGAAAGTGCACCAGAGGCTGTGGAAGCTGGGGAGTGGTTGGTGAGGCTGGATGTGCTGGTGTTACTGGTGGCATCAGGGTGGATTCAGCCACAGGGCTGCTCTCCGCGCAGGAAGTCATCTCAGACACAGAGTGTCGTCGGATTCCTGTGCCAGCTCCTGTGAAGAGGTCTATGTCATACTCCACCACGGGGGTCAGCATGGAAACATTGTAGCTCTTAGAATGCACCACTGGGTTCTTGGCGCCTGGTTTGGAGGGCCAGGAGTGCTGCAAACGCTTTTCTGAAATAGTGAGTGAGAGAGAAAGAAATAAAATTTACTTTTTAATTTAAATTAAATTAAATTAATTTAATTTAATTTAAACACAGGGACATGGAATATTTCTGCAAACACACACATACCTAATAGGCAGGAGGAGCAGTGTGAGTTGGAGGATTCATCTCTGGAATATAAGCCATGAGTGCCAAGGTAGGGAGAAACCACCTTCTGGATGAGAGACTCCAGACGCAGGTAGTCACTTGTTACACCTTTGGATTCATGGACACCCTGCGCCAAAGACACATACGCAGTTATTCACACACACACACACACACACGTTTGTGTTAGGCAGTAATTGCTACTTGTTGGCTGGTGGTAATGGAAACTTTAGAAGCCATGAAAACCTTTCCAGAGAAAAAAGAAAGAAAGACTCAATGTGTCTGGCTGTCAGACCACATATGACCGAATTTCACAGACAGGGCAGGAGGAGGGGTTACCTCCTGTGTTTGTTTTGACTCTTACTTTGCCCTTAATGGTCAAAAATTAGAAGGAGAAGTTAGTTAATGCAACTTTAAAGACATAAAATACTAGAAATTGGATTTTGTTCAGAATCCCATGTTTTCACACTGGGGGTATGGTATGTAATGGATCCAGACCTCACCCCAGCATCTTCAAATTAGACGAAGAGATAAATCAAGTTTCAGTTCTCTAAATCATGCATCAAAACCACAGCACAAAAACAAACCACATAAAGAGAACAGACTTCAGTGAACTGGCATCACAGCATCTTAACAGATTTGTTATTTTTCATGTTACCCACCTGAAAGTGCACCAGAGGCTGTGGAAGCTGGGGAGTGGTTGGTGAGGCTGGATGTGCTGGTGTTACTGGTGGCATCAGGGTGGATTCAGCCACAGGGCTGCTCTCCGCGCAGGAAGTCATCTCAGACACAGAGTGTCGTCGGATTCCTGTGCCAGCTCCTGTGAAGAGGTCTATGTCATACTCCACCACGGGGGTCAGCATGGAAACATTGTAGCTCTTAGAATGCACCACTGGGTTCTTGGCGCCTGGTTTGGAGGGCCAGGAGTGCTGCAAACGCTTTTCTGAAATAGTGAGTGAGAGAGAAAGAAATAAAATTTACTTTTTAATTTAAATTAAATTAAATTAATTTAATTTAATTTAAACACAGGGACATGGAATATTTCTGCAAACACACACATACCTAATAGGCAGGAGGAGCAGTGTGAGTTGGAGGATTCATCTCTGGAATATAAGCCATGAGTGCCAAGGTAGGGAGAAACCACCTTCTGGATGAGAGACTCCAGACGCAGGTAGTCACTTGTTACACCTTTGGATTCATGGACACCCTGCGCCAAAGACACATACGCAGTTATTCACACACACACACACACACACGTTTGTGTTAGGCAGTAATTGCTACTTGTTGGCTGGTGGTAATGGAAACTTTAGAAGCCATGAAAACCTTTCCAGAGAAAAAAGAAAGAAAGACTCAATGTGTCTGGCTGTCAGACCACATATGACCGAATTTCACAGACAGGGCAGGAGGAGGGGTTACCTCCTGTGTTTGTTTTGACTCTTACTTTGCCCTTAATGGTCAAAAATTAGAAGGAGAAGTTAGTTAATGCAACTTTAAAGACATAAAATACTAGAAATTGGATTTTGTTCAGAATCCCATGTTTTCACACTGGGGGTATGGTATGTAATGGATCCAGACCTCACCCCAGCATCTTCAAATTAGACGAAGAGATAAATCAAGTTTCAGTTCTCTAAATCATGCATCAAAACCACAGCACAAAAACAAACCACATAAAGAGAACAGACTTCAGTGAACTGGCATCACAGCATCTTAACAAAATTAGAGGGAAATTACTAACATATGAAACCAGAAGTAGTGAAATAAAGAAAAGGTTCGATGCTGAATTTTACTTCCTACACTCAACCGTTTTTCTTAGTTGCCCTGCTTTTCTCTCTGCTTTGACTCTACTTGTTTTTCTGCTCCTCTCTCTCAGCTCTCTGTTGATTTGATGCTCATTGTGGGTAAATAAAAACAAATCAGTTGCCAATGACTGAAGTACATATCAGTACACACTGAATTTTAAAAAGCAACCTTTTTTCTATTCTTGTGTTTTGTCCCCACTATACCCGCCTCTGTCTGAGTCTGCAAGCAGAAGACTTGTTCAGTGACTCACTACAATAATGTCCAAACTGACCCCGACACACAGACACAAAAGACAAACCAAATTAACCCAGTTCAGCGAAATACATGTTAAACTCTCCACAGGGGACACATCCTGTCATAACAGACAAGACAAAAATGATGCATATTCTCCTAACTCTTCCTCAAATCCTACATATAAAAATTTGATTTTTATCTGTGTCGATTAATAAGCTCTCCACGTAATTGACTGGCTCAGTTTCTCTGTTTTTGTAAGGATGTTATGATCTTTCCAGGCAGCATAACCACGGAGAATTCACACAGATACACAGCAACACAAATACTCACACACACACACACACACAGAGTGTTGAGGGTATCGAGTTGTCATGGAAAGATAACTGTGCTCTGAAATTGCTTCCTGTGAGAGCCCATTGCACAAAAAAAAATCCTCTCCTTTCCTTTG